CGGCTAGGAAATGGAGATGAGCACCGCCCCCTAGAGTCAGGCATGACTGGACGTAACATCAAGGGGAAACCTTTACCTTTACCGTTTAAGACTCGCTGAAAGCACGCTCTTTCCACACTGCATGTATTTACGTGGCCTCTGCACAGTGAGCTTTCTGCAAGGATTAGTAAGTGTCCCATGCTGAATGAGGCTCCTTCCAAGTCTCATTCATCTTTCTGGCTCTTCCGAATGTGGGTTCTTCTATGTACAATAAGATGTCCATTTCGTTTGAAGCTCTTTCCACATTTTGTACATTTGTATGGCTTCTCCCCAGTGTGGATCCTCTCGTGTGTACGAAGACTTGCACTTTGATGGAAGCGCTTTCCACATTCCATGCATTTGTATGGCCTCTCCCCAGTGTGGGTCCTTTCATGTGCAGTAAGATTTCCACACTCGCTGAAGCTTTTTCCACATTCCTTACATGTGTATGGTTTTTCTCCAGAGTGGGTCCTTTGATGTCTATTTAGACTTGCACTATGACTGAAGCTCTTTCCACATTCCATGCACATGAAAGGCCTCTCCCCAGTGTGGGTTCTTAGATGTGCACTAAGAATGCCTTTGTCGTTGAAGCTCTTTCCACATTCCCTGCATGCGTAAGGACTCTCCCCAGTGTGGGTCGTTTGATGCTTTCGAAGTTTTCCGCTCTCTGCGAAGCTGCTTCCGCATTCCATGCATTTGTAAGGCCTGTCCTCAGTGTGGGTCCTTTGATGTGTTGTCAGTTTTCCACTCTCAGTGAAGCTCTTTCCACACTCCATGCATTTGTAAGGCCTCTCCCCAGTGTGGATCCTATTATGCACACTAAGGTTTCCAGTGTGGCGGAAGCTCTTTCCACAATGCTGGCACTTGTAAGGCCTCTCCCCCGTGTGGGTCCTTTGATGCTTCCTCAGAGTTCCACTTTGACTGAAGCTCTTTCCGCAATCTGTGCATGTATAAGGCCTCTCCCCAGTGTGTGTTAATTGGTGGTTCATGAGATGCTGACTCATTTTGAAGCTCTTTCCACATTCCGTGCATTTGTATGGCCTTTCTCCTTCCTTGGCCCTATTAAATTTTCTACGGTGCCTGGATTTCTTCTGACACTTCTGGCATTTCTGTGGCCTCTTCCCAGTCTTTTGTTGTTTCATACGCTGCCCACTTTGGGTGAGGCTAGTTCCACATTCTATGCATTTATATGACTGTCTTCCATTTTTAGTGAGGTTTTCACCAGCAACGTCTCTGCTTCTCAGTTTCATAATTCTATAAGGCCTCTCCAAAGTATATGATCCCTGATGCTCACTGTGGCCTTTGCGGTCTCTGAAGCTCCCTTTACGTTTGTTACGTGCTGATGGTATCACTGCAGTGTGGGATCTTTGACATCGATAGAGTCCAGTGCCTACAAGGATGCTGAGAAATGGAGGACCTTTTCCTCCTGTTCTTTCTTGGTTTTACTCTTGCTTTTTTGCTCCTTTTTAAATTGGAAATCTCCCTTTTCTCACTTCAGGCTCACTTGTTTCTGATGATAGGGCACATGGAACCATATCATTTCTACAGTCTTGCTGGGGAAGACAGAGAAAATGAAATTATTGTTGGCTGTTAATACCTGAAACCAAGGAACACGTTTGAACTCAATCTAAGGAGGCACCATTTCATTTCAACATTTCCAAGATTCTCATCTTTCCCCTTCGATTGCCCTTCCAAAATGTAGATTCCTCAGGGATTATATTTGCAGAATGAGGTTACATACACCAGGATTTAGATTAAGATGAATTCTATTCTACCTAGGTAGCTAGCAACATTCATTCTCTGGTAAGAAGGAAGGATTGTCAGCGGTGTTGCATGGAGAGTCAAAGGGTCAACTAAAACACGCCAGAGATCGGAGGGTCCTACACTCTGCTGCAGCTCTCATCCAATGGAAATCAACGTGACATAAGAAAAGGCACAAATGTTTCGAGAATCACAGGGCCCATCCAAAAGAGGAAAAGATCCAGACCATGGACTGGTCTCCTGAACCAGCTTTCTGTGGGACACACACATGGCCAGGAACCAGGCCATCTCCTGGATGTCACTATTTCCTCACTGGATTTTTTTTTTTTTTTAGCAACCCTTACCCTAATCCTACCAGCAAATGCATGGAATTGGAGCTGGCTGTGGCCCCTGGCAATGGGCTCTGAGGTTCTGGGGATCCCAAAGAAACGATCTGCCAGATCCAGGATCACTCTCAAGGAGAGACACTCATCTGCTGAGGCACTTACAATGGAGTGGAGAACAGCAACCCTCAGTTCATGAGGTCAATCTGCTGTAGCAGGCAGGAAAGCCCACCTCCAGGCCATGCCTGAGTCTTGTTTTGAACTGCAGGGTGTGCAGCTCCACCAAGGGGCTCCGACAGGAGCTGGGACTGGGACTGCAAGCAACCGCTTCATGGACGGCAAACGCAGATGATGGTGATTAACTGAGGTTGCTCTGCTGAGCACAGCATTAAGAATAGCCAGCGCCACACTCTGACGGACTTGGCCCACATCTGAATGGAAGTTTGTTAGTGAAGGGCAGGATCTTTTAATCAGGGGTTCCCAGTTATACACACAATACATGCAGAAGAATTCTTCACTCTCACCCCACAATGAACCTTTCCCCTTCCCCGTTCCTCCTTCCTCCTTTGTCCTTACCTGGCCCGTGTCAGGCTTCTTCAGTTCCCTGCGGCCTTGAAGGTCTCTCTCCTCACCTCACGCTCTCTTGGGTTGCTGAAAGGGAAGGTGGATCCCCACGATTCGCCCGGTCCTGCCAATCTCCTGCTTGGGAAAATGGCGAAATGGAAATGTCAGGCTGGGCAGCGCATTCCACTGGGAATCCCCTGAATTGGCTGCTGCTTCTAGTCCAGTGCCTGGAAAGTCACCCCTATCCCACTGCATGTGGGCTGCCAAAACAGGTTTTTCCTTGCCTGCATGTTCCTGGGATTTTAAATTGGATTTGTCGGCATTTTGCTAGGCAAGGCACCATCCCCTCCAAAGGAAACGGGAGTAATTTTCATGAATGAAGTACTGAGGGTGAAATTTTAATAGGAAATAATGACAGACAGATGAAAGGAACCTGTTACCATGAATCTGTACAGAAAGGAACCTGAATACTTGTGCACTGGGAGTGACCGTGGAGACCTGGAGTCAAAATTGCAGAAAGAACAGCCTCAAAGGACATGGCAACCCATGTGGTTCAGGCATGTTCCAGGCCCAGTGACTCAGCTCTTTGGCTTCCCGAGAGCCCAGGGCTTGGAAGCCCCTCCAGAGATGGCCATGTCCTCCGGACTAGAAGGACAGAGCAATCCCTGGGAGTACTGGCACCAGGGCTGGCCGTCCTCTCCAGGCAGCTCCCAGAGGTGTACTCTTCATCCCACAGCCCTGGCAAAGACACCTGTGTTTGCTGTATGAAGACAAAGAGATTTCAGAAGGTAAGGGAGCCACTGCAAATGTGGAAGCACAGGCCCTCATGGCAGAGTGGTCTTTCCATGCTCGCCCCTCACCAGCGATACCTGTGGCGGGATCAGATGGGAGGGGGAAGAGGAAGCCATGGGGAGGCGGTTTGTCTGCCGGGCAGCCCACAGCTGCCCCACCTGCAGTGCAGAGATTTCTGGACAGCCGATGCAAGGGGGGCCCTGTAGGAGCAAGGGGGCCAGTGCCCACCGGGCTGCCCAAGTCAGACAGCACACAGCCCAGCACAAATCTCCAAGGGCCCCCAGATCCCAGGCAAGGGATGGTCTTCCTTGGAAGCTTGCAGGGAGGTCGTCAGCTTCTCTCCTTTGCAAAACAGGGGGTGGGTGTGGATCTTTCTCGGTGTTTGCATGGAGCAGGACTGCAGGCAAGCAAACCACAGGGTTTTGCAGGCCTCCTTCTGGGCCCTGTCAAGATCCCCAGAAGCAAGAGGAAGAGGAGGAGGAAGGTTTCTCTGGTACTCCCCCTCCTCTCCCACCCAGCTGCAAGTCTCCACCCTTCACTGACCGGCTGCACGGAAATCTTTGCTCTCCCGTCCAGGAAGGATGGAGGCGATTGGCGCCCCTGTTGGTGCCTCTGGCAGACAGAGGGGGCATACAAGGCCAACTGCTGGTCCCGCACGGCTGTTCCCACTGCTTCCTCCTGCCAGTTCAGGTGACACCTCCGGCTCCACCTGCACAACAGCGGGGGGGGGGGGGCGGGCGGAGAATTGGGCAGGAGGAAAATGGGAAGCAGCTAGGCCGCCCCCCTCCTGCCCCTGTGCTAGGCAGGATTTCGCCCGGTCCGCCCGGTGGGGCTGCCTTGAGCGTGGCTGTGGGGCCGACGGTGACTTGGGAGCCAGGTTGACCCGGGAGCGAAGCCGAGGGGGCGCGGGCAGCGCGAGGCGCCGCGGGATCCCCCCCCCCCTTTCATCCTGCGCTCCGCCAGAAGCGCCTCGGATGCTGAAGGCCAGGAAAGGAAGCTCGGCTCGCTGCAGCTCCGGGGCACGAAGCAGCGCCGACCACCCCTCAACAACAGCGCCTGCGGGGGGCTCCCCCCTCCTGCCCCACGCAAGGCCCGCTGCCCGCACCGCGCACCACTGACCCAGAAGATCTCGGGACTCAAGGCCTCCCTGGGGAGGCTCCCGAGGGGGAAGTTCGTGCGATGCAAGCCCAGCGTCGGGTCGCGCCCGGGGAGCCGGAATCGGACGCGCGCGCGCTGCCCGCTGCAAGGACGGGGAGGGGGAGTTCTCCTCTCGTCTTTCCCTCCCGCTACCCCATGCTCCTTTGTGCATCTCCCCCTCGCCCGTTTCCTGCCCTTCCTGTCGCCCACCCCAGAACCGCTGCCTCGGGGAGGGCAGGAAAAGATGGATCCCGGAACCACAGGTGGATGCGCCGCATTTCCTCCGCTTTTGCAGGGGGTGGGATCCCAAACCGTCATCAAGGCACGGAGCGCATCTGCCCCCAGTAACGGAGCCGCAACATTCCGCAGGCCGTAGATTCCTCTGTGCCTGGTGCCAAGAGGGGCATGCAGACAATCAGAGAAAGGGGACAAAGAGCAGCAGTTCACGCCGTGCGCCATGACGCGCATAAGAGCGAGAACCGAAGAAAAGCCCCGCTGGATGGGACCAAAGTCCGCTGCAGTTCATCCTTCCGGCCACACGGGGGCAAGGCAGCCCATGAGATCCCCACGCATAGAGGGACCCGCGTCCAAGTCTTGGAAGTAGCCGAGCCTCCTCCCCGTCGGATCTCTTCATCCCCCCGAAAGCCATGCAAATTGAGGGGGGGGGGGAGCACCGGTTCTGCGGCAGCCAATCCCTGCTCAAGACGCGTTGTGGAAAAAACGCTTGCTTTGATGATTTCTCAGCCTCCCTTCAATCCGCGACCGCTCCTACCCAGGCAGCTCGGAGCTGAATTTGGCATCCTCCGCCCGGGCCTCGACAGGCCTCGCTCCAGCTCAGGGCCAGGTGCGCCTCCTTGAGAGAAGAGTGGGATTGTGCCGAGAAAACGCCGTGACGCTTCGCACCCGGGGAGCCGGGCCAAGTCCCAGGCACACTCCCGGTGCAACGTACACAGACGGGGCTCACCCTCCGACCCAACGTGAAAGAACTGGCCATCACTGCAGGGGGCGACTCTTCCACGGTTGCTGCCTCACCAGCGATATCCGTTGCAGGATCAGTGGAGGGGGAAGAACAAGCCATGGGGAGGAAGTTCGTCTGTGGGGCAGCCCACAGCTGCCCCCACCCAAAGCCCCAGAAAATCTGGCAGGGAGTGCAATGGGGGGCAGGTGGATGCAAGAGGGCGGGTGCAGCCCCCAGGTCTGCCCCAGGAATGCGGTGCAGGAGCTGAGCAAGGCCACTCAGAGGCCCTTCACCGAAACCTGCAGGGATGTGGACTAGTCCCTTTGGAAAACGGGGTGGGGTGTGGATGCTCTTGGTGGCTGCACCGGACGGTCTGCAGGGGAGCAAACCAGAGGGAGGATTTACGGCCTGCATCCTGGGCTCTGTTGAGATCTGGCCACATTGCATGGAAAGGGACCAGGCACGGACATTCATTCCCTGCCCCCCAGCAGGGGGGCCTGCCAAGCAGCAGTGGGGCAATCCAGCACCAGGAGGCAGGGGTGTGGATCGGTGCCCAACTGCTGCTGCCTGGGGGACAGACAGGTGGAAACCAGGCCATCCCGGGGCCTCTGTGGCTGTTCACCCCTGACAGGCATTCAGAGGGGCACACTTGGACCTCCTGCTTCAGCTCCACATCAGCTCAGTGAGGGGGGCTGCGCGGGGAAGGAGGAAGATGGGAGGCTGCCCCGTCTGCAGTCAGGCGCTGGGTACACCTGGCCCCACAGGGTGGCGCTGACGGTTTTCCAGGACCCACTGTTAGGGAAGCACGTTTCCAACCCGACCGGCAACGCCCAGAGGGCGGATGGTGACATGAGCCAGGATGGCCCAGGTTTGTGTGTGGGGAGACACACACACACACACACACACACACACACACACACACACACACACACAGACCTCTGCCGCCAGGGCTGCCCCTTCCCTGAGGCGGCGCAAGGACTCTTCTGGGAACGACCCCTCGAGAACCGCTTTCTCGGAGCGGCCGCTCATGGGGGACCGCCTCGAGCCCCACCTGGGGAGGCCCATCATCAGCTTCACCGTTGTAACATCTGTATACTTGCCATAGCCGGAGCTCTCTGGGAGGGTAACAAACCTTACCTGAAGTCTCCCATCCACATTTCAACCAGGCCTGACCCTGCTTAGCTTCCACGATTAGGCAGGATCGTGCACTTCAGGCTATATGGAGAAGCACCTGCCCAGATTCTCGCCGCACCCCGCAGCCCCGGCCCCCTTTTGCGCGGCGACAGGACAGAAAATGATGCGGCTGCTCAAGGCGAAAAAAGTCCAGCCCGGCTCCCCCTGTACAGCGCCCCTCAGCGCTCTGTCCGCTGCAAGCCTTGATCTCTCCAGGATCAGACCCCGGGTGGAGTGGGGTGGTGGGGTTCCGCTACAAGCCGGGTGGGGAGGCTCTCCCCGTGTCTTTCCCTCCCGCCACCCACTCCCATTCTCAGCCCACCCCTCCGCGCTGGATCCTTCCCACCTGTTTCCCTCCCTCCCCCCCACTAGCCCACCTTCCCGCGGGTTTCTCCAAGTCCGTCAGGGCGGAGCGTCCACGGCGCCCTCCCTTTCGCCCGTCCCCTGCGCTCGACCTTGAGCTCTCCAGGATCAGACTCCTGGCGCTCTGCCCGCTGCAACGTCGGGGGGAGGAGGGGCTCTCCCCTCATCTCTCCCTCCAGCCACCCCTTCCCGTTTTCCGCCCCCCCCCC